GAACTTTCATGCGCAAATTCTTTGTTAGACCATCGTTTCATAATCAAAGGTTTCATCATTGATCGTTAACCAAACGTTTAATTATCGATCGTTTGTGCACATTCTTCTGCATGAGCAGAAAAAAATTCCAGCTGAATTGTTTGATACAAATCATCATCGCTATGCATTTCAGCTAACTGGAGAATTTTGCGCACATTTTCCTCAGTAATATTGGATTTGAGAAAGGACGAACACTTTTTCTTCAGAGCATCAACGTCATATTTATCAGCCGCTGTGTACAGCTGCATAGCACTTTCTTCACATAGTGTTCCCAGATTTCCTGTATACAGAAAAAGAAGCATCTCATGTATAATATGAGGATCCACATCAGAAATCTCGACCTGGTTGGTTCTCGATTCTATCATTTCGGTTTGGAACATTCGGGTAAACACCGAAGACTGAGAACACAGAATAAATTTGTGCACGGAAAATCTTCTGGAATCAGCTACTACAGTAACGTCAGATAATAATCCACATTCATAAAGATCTTGAAGGTTTCTGTTCAAGTCATTATCTCCGATCGAAGTTACAGAGACGCAAGAAGACTCCACAATGTGAGAAAAATAACTGCCGTTAGATAATTTAAATTCGCATGTGAGTAACAACATATCATCTGGATCTGAAGATATAATCCGCAAAAACTCAGCACATTTCCAATTTTCACCCTCCTTAAAAAAATGTTCATTTTCAGAAGAATTAGCTTTATCGAAGGATATCGTGGTTCTCACGAAAATCGGTTTGAGGTTATCATCAGGTATTTTGCAAATGAAAATACCAAATATTTGACCAGTTATTGTTCTTCCGCAGATGCGTACTCTTAAACTCCATTTACTCAATTCCGGGATATCTGTCTCAAATTTGTGATACAACTCTGTGTTAACGGGCGGTGTCTAAGAGAAATTCTCCGATTGGCCCCGACAAACGAATTTTTTTCGTTTTACTGTCGGAGTTTTCATAAGTTGTATACTACCAGTGTAGAGCTAGAATGCGGGAGTCCATACTTTGCTGCAGTGGCCTAGACCCTCCTCGAAGTTGAACACATACCCCCCTCTGAAATTTATTTCCCTGTAACATACTGATCATAGCTTCGAGAACGTCGATCCGATATCGCAATCTTGTTCGGAAGATCTTTGTGTGTTATCGGGCATTTTACCAGTTCAGGCCACCTCGGCCCATAACATAGCTCTATTCACTTTGAATACTGCATCATGCGCACATCCCAAATATAACGTCCGTGAACGTCCAGTTTTTGTAAGAAAGTGGAAGGGCGTACCTCTTCTTTTCCATTAGTCTCAGAAACTGGTTTCAAACGACATTTTATAATTAGTATGTCACAATTAATAGACCTTAAAAGCAAATTTCTTTCAATAAATTCTTTATAGCCACACTGCGTTTCTCCTTTACGAAAAAAAACGGGTACAGTAGAACTACAGATGTTTGTTGGAATTTCCTTTTCATTGTGATCTAGGAACTGAATTTTGAAAATTAGATTGCAGTCTTCTGGAGAGTCATCATCTCTGCACAGATAAATATCTATGTAATTCTCCTTTGATTTACCGCGAGGATATAATTTAAAGCGCCATTTTTTGCCGGGTAAAGAGTCTACGTCAAAGGACGGGCTCCTAAAACGTTCTGCCTTTGCCTGATGGCACATGCTGAAATTTTTAATAATCCACACAAATGTAAAATTATAGTCGATTTCTTTCTCCATTGCATCCACGTTATTTCCTTCTTATATTACTCCATCTGTTGATAAAATAAACATTCGCATTTGAACACGTTTCTATGACCTTCATTCACTACCGCTTAGTGATTGCTCTGATTTGTCTATTGAGCCCTTTTCACAGCAGCAGATTCTACCCGTGGTTGAAAACCAGTTCTTCATACATTTCCCCTTCATTCTCCCTTACACTGGGTTCTTATCGATCCCAGAACCCCACACTCCTGGTGGGTCGCCCAACTTCACTCCCGCTAGAGAAGATGAATTGAGGGGGGGGGGAGTGAATTGCTATTGAAAATACGGCTGTTGGAATACTATTATAGTGTTCTTGGTTATAATTTTTATAACATCTAAAGGCTTTAATGCTTTAAGCAGCGTATTGTTTGTTCTCTTTCACAGAACCATAATGTTCCATGCAGCTCTTAACTATCGTGGGTTCCCAAAAATATATATTTTAAATACTTAATTCAGTAATGTCTTTTATTTATGCTGTTACGGTATTAAGAAGCAGATCAGATTTTACGAGTAAAATTATAATGAAATAATATATTTCCAATGTTTTTTTTTTTTAAAGGATGGTTGGTGTTACACAAAATAAACGATTATAGTTAAAAAAAATATATTATAGTTTTATTGGTTATTTGTGATGGCTGAGAAGTTTTATGCACTTTTAGCGTCACAACCAATGACTGGTGTATGTAATCTAAATTCAAATGACTTTAAACTGCCTAAAAGTAACAAAATGTATAATTTTCTATTTTTATTTACAATGATATTCTAAACAATTTGAATACTATTGAAATCCTTGGCATTGTTAAATATCTTATGAATAAAGACAGGCAGTTGTGGCAAACCAAAATGCTGAAAGTGGTAACTAAATTGATTTAAGAAAATGGCACTGAAATATCGTTTGGGGCAAATGAATAGCTCTGACCAGTCCCATTTTGAGATCCTACGGCCGGCTTGTGGCAGGAAGGAGGATCGGGGCTGTGCCCTTATAATGATGATAATTATGTTAACGGTTATTAAGTTGTGAATTCACCAATCCAACTTTATGCCCTATAAATAGCACTAGTTATTAGATAACGTTTTCTGAATATTGATATGAATAAGTACCAGCGCCGGATTTAGCGTTTTTCCCAAGTGGGGCAAGAAAGTAAAACTGCCGCCCTCACCACTTTTCCTTTAAGATTCTCTAACAAATTTTAATTTTTTTAATATACGTAGAAATAAGTACGGTTTGAGATAAAATATCAAATCTATTTTATAGTAAGAAATTCTTTACATGCGCCATTTTTGTTATAAAAGAAATGTACATAAATGGTTTAGTTTCTTTACTTGCCGCAAAGCATAAGAGGGCTATCTGCCTAAGAGGAAAGATGCCTTTACTGAGGACTTTATAAGAGTAATTGGCTCTTATGCAAATTACGCCTGAGCAAAACGACGGAAACGCCCACGCAGCCAGCTAATTCGCCGGGATTCTAACCCCGACCGAATTACCAGTATTCAGACTTATCGCTCAGCCGCTAGTAGCCCGACACACATACCAGAAGTTACATAATTAAAAACCCTTGCGAACCCTCCTAAATAATCAATGCTCTGAAATAATCAAATGTACATTTTCCTGAAATAGGCATTTTTTTTTTTTTTTTTTTTTTTTTTTTCAAATTTGCACACTAAATGCCCACAATAAATGATCTAATAGAAAACGATTCAGTACTAACACTAAAATAATTCGCACAGTACAAAAATGGAATCGCACATTGCTCATATCAAAATTTTTTTAATAAATAAAAAAATTACAAATCAATAATACCATGGATTGAATAATTTTATACCAATTTCTCTATACTAACAGTAACTTTAAGTTCAGAATAGTACAAAAAATAGAAATGACACATTGCTAATTGATATCTTAAACAAATGTATACAAGTTACTAATCCCGAATGAAATGGATTCAATAATTAGCACACCAATTTTTCTAAATTATCGGCAACTTAACCTGGCACTTAAAAATTTCATTTCCCTATAACGCCTTTACGTAGGGTATTCAAGAACTCTACTATCGTCCTCACACAGCCCGATAACGTAATAATTACTTACATATTGACACAAAAGACTACTTTTGCACTGTAATAATCAAATTTAGATTTTCTCTGAAATAACGCCTTTATATAGGCTACTCAAGAACTCTACTATCGTCCTCACACAGTAATAAACGTAAAATTACGTAATAAATCTTACATATTCAAAAAAACTATTTTTGCCGGAATAATCAAAATTAAATTTTCTCTGAATACGTTTTTTGCAATATTTGAACACTACTAGCCAAACTAAGGGAAAATGATTCAGTAGCAGTTCCCCATAGTACAACAAACAGAAATGGCACATTACTGATTACTATCTTAAACAAATATATACAAGTTATAAATCACGAATGAAATGGATTCAATAATTAACACACCAGTTTCTCGAAATTAACAGCAATTTTAACCTGGCGCTTCAAAATTTCATTTCACTATAACGCCTTTATCTAGGCTATTCAAGAACTCTACTGTCGTCCTCACACAGCCCGATAACGTAATAAATACTTACATATTGACACAAAAGACTACTTTTGCGCTGTAATAATCAAATTTAGATTTTCTCTGAAATAAGCAGTTTTGCAATATTTGAAACAATAACTAACCAAACTAATGAAAAATGATTCAATACTAAATACTGAAGCAGTTCCACATAGTACAAAAAATAGAAATGACACATTAGCAATTACTATCTTAAACAAATATATGCAAGTTATAAATTACGAATGAAATGGATTCGATAATTAACACACCAATTTCTCTAAATTCACAGCAATTTTAACCTGGCACTTTCAGTATAATGCCTTTATGTAGGCTACTGAAGAACTCTACTATCATCCTCACACAGCCCGAGAACGTAATAACTATTTACATATTCACAGAAAAGACTATTTTTACACTGTAATAATCAAATTTGCATTTTGTCTGATATAAGCAGTTTTGTAATATTTGCAATAATAACTAGCCAAATTAATGGGAAATAATTCATACTAAATACTAAAGCAGTTCAGGATAGCACGAAAAAGAGAAATGGCACATTACTAATAATAGATTAAACGAATATATGCATGTTACAAATCACTAATGCAATGAAAAATTAAATTACTTTTTATCAGTAACATACTTAAATATGTAAGTGCTAACGTTGAATCAAATATGCAGTCGTAAATAAAAATAATATTTAGTTACAACGCTCTTAAAATATTACGGGATTAAAATTTTACACTGCGAGCCTTTTGCTCTGCAAATAAGTCTGTGGCATCGTCATAATTAATTTCATATGCTTTGATTTTCGATTGCCAGAATTGCGAGACTTGATAAACGCTCCTGGCTCATCGATGATCGCAAATAGTTTTTAATAAGTTTTAATTTGTTAAAACTTCGCTCACAGCTTGCGGATGTAGTTGGAAGTGTAGAATAAATCCGCATCGCAATACAAATATTGTAAAAGGCGTCCTGCAAATTATAGGTGTATATCTGTTGCAAGAGATTGAAAGCGCTGGCCTGTTTTATGTCGCCGAATAATATTGGGGCTTGTTTTTTAAAAACGGCAAGTTCCTGGCAGAACTCAAATGCGCTTAGATCTGGCTCATATTTTCGTGCAACAAGATCTGCATCATTATTTTGCAGTTCTTCAGTTAACATATTCTATATTTCACGACCATCGAGAAATTCGAAATTTGAATTTAGAGTAGTAGCGCTGTTTACCCTCTTTTTAATTTCTGCTAAGATTCGATCAAATACAATTTTTATTGCATTAGAAAATAGCTGAACAGGATGAAGTGTTCGTGATTCGTCCTCGCA